TGAGAAAGTAATTAACATTACAAGGACTGATATATAAATAACCAAACTTTGACGCTGGGGGCAAAAACGTAATTTGGAGGTCAGTAGACAAAATAAAGGTTTTGATTTTTATGGTTAATCTCTAAGGCAAAATAACTTAAACAAAGCTTTATGTTTTTTATAGGGTTAACACATGATTAGATATTATGACTTTAGTACTAATCAAAGATTAGTCTTTTTTGTCTCCATTTCCTTTCTTCCATTCCCAAATGACTTTATAAGGCTGCATTGATCCTTCTGCAACATTCTCAACAACATTAGCTTCGCGTTTGAAAACAGCGATCTGAGAAGCAAACCCGGGATCTACTTCACCAGACCCGCCAACACCGCTAAACTCGACGCTGTAGTTATGGCGTTCGGCGAGCTTAGAAGCCCATTGGTTGAACTGTTCTCTTGTCCACTCGAATTTGTGGTCATGATTCCTGAATTTGGGAAGTTGCGACTCGGGTTTGTCTTCTGGGTGGTTTTCTTCTTGGGTTGCCGGTGTAGACTGTTGGAGAATTCTGTTGTACTCGTAGTTTGGTGTTGAAACAATCAAGAGCTTCGGGCGAAACAAGCTTAGAACTTTTTCTCCGCATTCACAGGCTTGATCTTCTTCCATGTGTTCAATGACCTACAGATTCAGAACTGATTCTATGTAACGCAAAACCAGACAGATTTCTTTTGATAAACATGCAGAAAATTTGAAGTACTAGAAAACAGCTATTAGGAGTACCTCTAAGCAAGTGCCAATGTCAATGTCGTGTAGCCTGGAGTCAAACTCGAGGATGGAACCATCATAGAGTGTAGCAGATTTGACGTTGCAAGCCTCCTTGTTTAGTTTTGTGTGTAGCATCTGAAATTGAAGCAAAAGCTACTAAAAACACTCTTTTTTCATAATGTAATATGCAGAGATCACACATTACATGATTCATGACTTAAGCAAATGCAATTTTCATCAAACATATCAAGTTTTTAGATGCATTAGTCACATCGAGTTAAGTCTACAAGTGGAATAAAACATACCTTAGCAGCACGGGCAAGGCCTTTCGGTGAGATGTCAACACCGATAATGGTATGCAGTGAAGTTGGATAGTCAAGTAGAGAGTCTAACAAACTTCCAGAACCGCATCCAAAGTCAGCCTGCAACAAGAGCAAAGGCGACATCTCAAGCTTGTCAGAGATATACCAATAAGGACAAAAAGACAATGAAACAATATAAAGAGTTTCAAAATTAGTCGTGACTTCAGCATCTCAATAAGCAGAAAGACAGAAAAGACTAAAAAAGAGAACAAAAATAACGTACCAACGTAGAAGCGGATGATTCTTTTATATGTTTCACTGCATATTCCACACGCTGTTTAGAAAGCGGAGGTTTGAAAAAAGCTGCTTCCATTCGTTCTTCTGTCGGCCCTTTCACTCCCAACAAAAGTATACTGTAATCCAAATGTGAACGTACTGCGCATAAAAAGCAGAGGAATTCATCACTATTACACATATATGATCATGGAATCTCTGATCTTAGTTCACAGATATAGGTCTCTTCTTTTTTTATCTAGCAATGAGAGCTTTAATAATTTTGTCTGTGATTTGAAAAACGTTTAAAGAGATTATCCTATAACCTGCAACAAATGTATATGTTAGAAGCATTACCTGATAGGAGCCAGCGGATTCTCTCGGTATCAGTGGCTGATGCCAAGATCAAAACTTCGGCAGCAGTAGGCAGTGTAGTACTAAAAGAAGCATATTCACCCACAGTCATCTGAGTAACAGCTGATTCAATATGTGTATTCATCGCTCCAGTTCCTACCTCAAACTCTATCCCTTCATTGCTTTCAATGAGATCTGTTGAGTATTCAGACTCTATATCTTCGTTGCTTTCAATTACTTCTCTTGGAGATTCACCATCACTCAAATTTTCATCACTCGAATAGTTAGGATCCACTGCCAAAGACAAAGAATAGCAAATGCTAACCACAGAACCGTTTGTTATAGATTGAACACGCTTCTCTTTCGGTGGCATGTTCGTGGTCCTTGAGCTATCTCCTTTTCCGAGAATCGGTGGGGCAGAAAAAACGTGAGTACTTGGAGACTTAATGTCCTGGTCGTCATCTGTATCAGATAATTCCTCTCCACTCACATCCAGATCATCGAAAAACTTACTGAACCATAATAGGGCTTTCAATGAAGCATTTTGAAGGGCATCGTTTTCCTTCTCATATAATTTTCTTGGTGAACAATCTAAAACCAGATCCTGGGACTTCGTAAGAACTTTCACTCCACATCTAAACCCATGTCCTAATCCTGTTGTATCCTCTTTTTCCCTACTTGAATTCTCATTATCGGCATCATCAACTCCTGAGATCTTCAGCTTCTTGTGAGATCTGAATATGTCAGACAGCAATTTCACAGGATCAGAAGTTATAGAAAAGACGGGTTCTGCTAGTCGGTGCTGGTGGCAGAACATGCAGAGAATCTCCCTAGGGAGTGGACCTCTCCAATTAGACTTTGTAGTGAAAGAAGAAGGCAACTGCGCAGCAAGTAATGCTTGTCTGGAGATTTTGTAGATTCCATTGGGTGACATACCGCAACATATCCTACATAAGCCAGAAAGCTCATGTCAAGCCAGTGCATGATTCGATATGGTGCTTCATCAGAAGGCCAAGACAAACATCAAATGCATTACTTCAGTGTTCAAGATGTAAGTAATGCATTGTCTCCAAACGAAATGTAAAAAGGAAAGCCAAACATAAAACTAAGGAAAATAAGGGGGGGGAGTAATGGACCTGTAAAATGATTTTACGGTTACATCATCATAGTCAAGATTGTCGGTCTTCCATCTGTAACCAACAGATGCCAAGATTGCATCCCCGTGAATATCTTGACCACAAATGTAACTTGCTCGTGCATTCCGAGTTTCTTCATGTGAACTTCCAGAGGGTTCCGATGAATTATCTGAGAACTTAAACTTAGGAATAGGAGAGTACAGTCTACATTCAGAGCCACAGGAAGCTTTGCCAAGAGTCCTGTTGAAAACCAAAAAGATACCTTAATACCAGATTAACACCGAGAGAGCTCCACTTATTAGTATAAAAAAAAAATTTAATCACCTCGATATCATCATTTGGTTGCCATCTTTCAAACCAAACCTTTTAGCAATAATATCCAAGTAATACCCTGATGAAATATCAAGAGCATCTAGCTCAACAATCTCCGTACCCAGATATGGTATATGTACAGCCTTGACTTCTACGCTTTCTAGAGAGTCCGATTCATGAGTAGCCAGTGCTTCTATAATTGCTGGAGGGTATGGATTTTTCCTTCGGAGTGAAGCTACATGCGGAGATACGACAATGTAGTCTGACAATTTTGCAGCAGCCTTCATGACATATGAATTGACCAAGAAAGGATCCGATTCCACAGAAGGATTAATGATTTTACAACGACTGAGAATCTTTGCATCGAATGTGGCAATGACAGAAACAGGAACTGAGCCGCAACAATCACCATCCCTTTGCAATGCCGCTCTAAGGTGAGCTCCCAGAGGATGTTCAGCTGAAAGAAACTGCAATCGCAACACTTCATACTTGGTCAAGACATTTGTATAAACAGAAATCATAGATACGTTTTCGATGAGCGATAACTAATATTTACTACATAGAAATCAGAAACTCCTTTTGGCCTACTAACCTCATCAGAAAAAGTATACTTAATTCGTCCAGTGATATCATCCCACGCTTCCTCCACAGTTATATCGTTATCATCCCGAGGACGAATGCCTAGCTGCAACATGAATAGTATTGTCTTCTTTAACATTAACAGTATTTAAGAATCTAATAAACAATTACACAAGAGACATATATAACAAACGCATACCTTCTCGAGAGCCAATTCAGCAGCGGATTGTTCGGAATCCTTTTTCTTCTTAAAGACATTTGACACAACAGAAAAATCCGGTAGCTGCAAGTGGCATCGATAGAGACATGGACCTTTTTGCGGTATAGCCAATCCTGGACAACTACTCTGAGAAGAATCATGAACTTCCTCAACTCTGTAACTTGCATTAGCACCAAACTTCTGATGTATAATTGCCTTTGGAGTAAGAGTCTGCTTCACACCACCCACCATCACAAAACGCAATGTAGCTCTTCTTCTTCAACACACTGAGATACATAAACAAAAGGGTCATATAAATAATCACTAAAGATCAGAAAAAATCATAACTTTTGTGCAAAATGTACATGCCCACGAAATTAGGGTTTCTAAAAGACTTAAACTTGACAAAATTGAAACAAGAGACATAGAGAACAGTTACAAATAACAAAAAGTTTGGAATCGAAATCAACATCTATTTGAATTCATGCATTCGAAACGTTCTAAATTTAACCCATTTTAAGCACATGCGATGCAAAAACAGAGATGCGAAACACAATGAAACGAGTAAAGCAACGATTTTTCGTTCGAAGGAAGTACAGATAAAGGGTTTGGG